GGTGGGTGCGTGGGCAGGTGCGTCCCTGGGTGGGTGGGTGGGTCAGTACATCAGAGTGTGTGTGGTTCAAGGGATGTGTGCTGGTTGCGGCCTTGGGACTCAGCAGCCCGCCGCAGCAAAATGCAATCAGTCTGCCGAGCGGTGGCCCAGCGCTTCGGATGGGACGGCAGTCCAGTGCCTTGCGCCCTCGACGCGTCGCAGATCTGCCGCCTGCGGCGACCCGCACCGCCGGCGGCAAACCCAGAGTCAACTGGCAACCCTGGCTGCATTCACACTCTCAGGCACAAGGCAGTCACCGCTTGGCCCTTTCACTCAGATTGGCAAAGACATATGCGCACATGCGATGCACGCGCACACACGCACGCACATACACACACTCACACACACAATCGACACCCCTTGCCCTCCCACGGAACCAAACTTACCCCTGGCATTTTAATCCCCTCCACACCCCCAGGCTGGGCGACCACTCAGAGGCTGAGGGCCTCTACCGCTCAGCCCTGGCGGTGCGGGCCAGCGCCCTTGGGCCAGAGGATCCAGATGTTGCTGTAACCGCCCACAACCTGGGGGTCTGCCTGGCCGCCACCGGCCAGCACGCGGAGGCGCTCGTGTTCCACAAGCAGGCGCTGTTTGTGCGCGAGGCGGCGGCGGCAGCAGCGGCGGCGGCAGGCGGCGGCGGCGGCGCGGCGGCGCGCGGCGAGGTGCTCGCGTCGCACAAGGCGGCCGCGGCGTGCCTGCGGCGGCTCGGGTGCGAGGGCCAGGCGGAGCCGCACCTGTCCGCGCTGCTCGACGCCGCGCGCGGCCGCGCAGACGGGGACGCGGTTGCAGGCAGCAGCGGCGGCGGCGGCGGCGTCCGCCGGCGGCGGGACGCGCTGTTGGAGCTGTCCGCTGCGGCGGAGGACTTCGCGCGCTGCCTCGCGGCGCAGGGCGCGCACGCGCGCGCTGAGGATGCGCTGTGGGAGGCGCTGGAGGCGCGGCGGGAGGCGCTGGGCGCGCAGCACCCGAGCGTGAGGCTGCTGGAGGATAAAATAACCAGCTGCCTCGAGGCGCTGCAGTGAGCGGCGCCGGGGCGGGGCCGGCCCCGGCGGCGGCGCCGGCAGCCGCCCTGGCCCCTGCTATTGTTGCCCCCGGCCCTGGCAACGGCTGGGTCCGGGGCAGAATAAAGCAGGGGCCAGGGCGGATGGGTGGGGGGATTTCGGGAAGTTGTAGGGCCATAAGGCGCCGCAGAACAAGAGAGGACCCATGTACCCTGGTTGCACGTAGGAATCATAGGTGGAGGGAGTCATTGTTTTTGAAACGGCTTGCATGCGGGCACCCGCCGGTTGGGGTTTTGCATTCTTTCGAATTGGGGTCTCCGACCCGTGCCGACGCAACCACCAGCCACCATTTGTGCAACTTTCACACCGCAGCAGCACACGAGCAGCAGGAGTGGCTTGCAGCATACGGGCCAAGAAAATCAAGTTTTGTCGAGTTCACCGGCGTTTCCAAGGCATTTGGGTGGCTAAGAGGGGCTGCGTCACGACCGTCGAGGGCTTTGCGCGCGACGTAACCGCCCAACTCTGTGCCAACTTGAGTGACGAACCCCGTTTGGCTGCGCAGGCATGCCATCAAGTGAATGTAACACGTGTTTCTTATACCTGATGATTGATCAGCTGCGATTCGGCAGCAAAGCATGCACACTGATGATGCATGCGCCACCACGGCCAACAACTAGGCCAGCAATGACGCGATTGGGCGTGTCCGTGCCGGACGATCCGGCCCATGCCTTCGCCCTCAACGGTGGCCCAGCATCTCAGGGACTTTTGATAGTAGCCATGGTGGCTCAAGCCAGGCGCGTACGTCGCTGTAATGCAGGTCGCGAAGCGGGTTTGAAGCCAGGCGGGCGTGGCACAGCTTTTTGCTTCGACGTCGCACGTCGCTCGTCGTGCTTTCAATCAACCCAAGTATTGACAATGTACAGGAGGCGGGAGTAAGGCCACAAGGAAATGCCCCCACGAGGCCTCGGCATGGGCTCCGACACGCAAACCGAATTCTTCGAGCCGGGTGGGGCCCATGAAGCGCTGGACATCGGATAAGTCCGTTTGTATAGCCTGGCTGCAGCATCAGCCCCCTGCCGCCATCAACGTGATGCACCTCGCGCGCCTGTCGCGGCCGACCCCCATCCTCAACCGCCGCATCAATCGCCCCGCACCCTCTGGCCCCCCATGCAGGCGGCCGCTGCGGCCAACGCGCCTCACGCCTGGTCCTTGCTCCGTTCGCGCCGCCCTCGGCCGCCGCGCGCGCCAGCGACAGCGCCCCCTCGGGTCGCAGCGGGGCGGCGGCAAGTGCAAAGAGCTCCGGCGCCGCTGGCGCCTCCCCTGCCCTCTACGGCGCCTTTCGCGTCTCGATCCACCAGCGGGACACAGACACGGCACCTGAAGGGCCCCAGCAGCAGCAGCAGTCGCAGCAGCAGCCGCCCCACCAGCCCGACGCGCCCCCGACCGCGGCCGCGGACGCCCGGGCCGCCGCCACTGCAGCCGCTGCCGGCCGCGCTTCGCGGCCTGCTGCCCGCAGGCCCCCCAGCCCGCAGCGCCGCGGCCCCGTCCCTGCAGCATCCGTTCACGGCTGGCAGCACCAGCAGCAGGGGCGGTGGTTCTGCTACGAACAGGCGCTCGGCGCCGCTGCGCCGGGCAGCCTGGCCGAGCTGCAGCCGTTTCCCAGGAAGCAGCGGCAGCACAGCCAGCAGCCCCGGGGGCCCCGCGCCGCGGCCGCGGCCGCCGCCGTGGCCGCGGCCGCGGCAGCCGCTGCATCAAACAGCGCCGCACTGCTTGAGAGGCTGCGCGCTGTGCGGCGCGGCGCCATGACGGCGGCAGCGCCGCCGCCACAGCAGGAGCAGCAGCAGCCGTGCTGCGGCGATCTCCCGTCGCGGCCCTGCCTGCCGTCCGCGCTCGCACCGCCGCCGCCGCCGCCTGGTTTTGGCCCCTGCACACGCGACCCGCTCAACGGCCGCGCCGCGCCCAGCACCAACCCAGGAAAGCGCGCGGCGGCGGCGCCGCCGCCGCCGCGGCTGCCGCTGCAGGCAGGGTGGCAGCAGCGCCCGGCTGCGGGCGCCGGCTGCGAGTCCTCGGCTGCCAGCGAGCACAGCTGGCCCCAGTCTTGTAGCATCATGCCAGTGGATGACGATGACAAGGCGGCAGCAGAGGACGACGCAAACAATGCGTGCAGCAACCTCGTGCGCCCGAGCTTCCTGGCCGCCCACCCGAAAGCCCGCTGCCGCTGCCACGCGCCCTGCTGCGCCTGCGGCGGCGCGGCGGCCGCGGCGGCGCGGTCGGTGAGCGCACGGCTGCTGTGCGCTGAGGTCAGCGTGTACACCGACGCAAGCAGCCCCGAGGCGCTGGCGGCCGCGAATGACATCATGGCGCGCATCTGGCTTCCTGGTGGGTGTATCGATGTGCCTCCTGCGGCACCCTACTTGGCAAGGCCGCGCCGCCGCGGCGGAATCCCCCGTCGTCGCGCGTGCATCAATGCGTCGCCGCCGCCGACACCAGCGCCACGTGGCCCACCCACCCCCAAGCTGCCGCATCCCTGCCCACCGCCTCCCGTGCCACCTCAGATAGCTCACGGCACCATCCACATGCAATTTGCGCCGCCACCCTTTCAACCGGCCCTCCCAACCTCCCCTCTCTCGCCGTCGCCTCAACCCACGCGCCCTCCGCTGCCCTTGCAACCCACCGCACACCGCAGGCGGCGTGACCTACGAGCCCGTGTCCCTGGGGTCTGCCGAGTTCCAGATGGGCGTGATGTGGCAGTTCCCCGCCTTTGCCGTGGCCCTGGGCGCATCCTACTTCCGCCGCCTGCTGGCCGCCAAGCCGCACCTGGCGCTCGCCGCGCGCCGCTGCCCCGCGTTCGGCGCCTACTGCTGCGGCGCGCAGGTGCGTATGCACGTGCGCAGTCTTGCGATGCTCAAGCCACGGCCTGATGTGAGCCAGCGGGTCACCGCAGAGCCTGTCCTGCAAAGAAACCGAGTCATCAACCCTGGCCATGCCGCATGGCCGATGTGCGGCACATCGAAGCAACAAAACCGCCCTCCATGATCCTCTCGTACCCTCATGCTCCGCCCCGCCCGCGCCCAACGGCCCGCCCGCCGCCCCTGCCCGCCCAACGCACGCGCGCAGCCGCCCCCGCTGCCGCCGCCGCCGCCGGCCGAGGGCAATGCCATGGAGGTGACCCTGCGCTCCGCCCAGTTCACCTGTATCTTCCTGGCCACCAAAGTGGCCGACCAGGTGCGGCCCTCAACCACCCGCCCACTTTGTCCAGTGCCAAACCGCGTATGGACCAGGCGTTTGATGCGCCGTTGCGCACGGCCCTCCAGCTGCCATTGTGTAGGGCGTGCCGCGTCATCGCGCGTCCTTCCCACACGCCCGCGCGTCGCGCTGCCCCGTCCCTTGCTGACCCCCGCCGCGTCCACTGCCCGTTGGACCCAAAACCCTGAAACCCCCACGACAGGTCCACGCACACGGCCTCCTCCGCTTCATGCTGGGCGCGCTGTGCGGCGCCCGCCACGCGGTGCACCCAGATCAGGCGTCCGAGGTTGAGCTGCGCTGCCTCGAGGGCCTCAACTGGCGGCTGGGGCCCTACTTCTCAGAGGACCCCATGGGCGGCGACGACGCTGACCTGGCGGCGGCGTTCCACGGCGGCGGCTGCGGCGCGGGCGCGTACTGAAGACGGCGCCGGCGGGACGGGCGCCGTTTCGGGGCGCTCGCCGCGCGGCGCCACGCGACCCACGGGGCAGGCGCTGTTTCAGGGCGGGCGCCGCCCGCGCCGCGGCTTGCGGCGCGCCCCGCAGGGCCTTGATGTCGGGGCTTGGGACCATGCGTAGACATGAATAGACAGGAAACCGCATGGCCCGGTTTGATGGCGCCGCCTGCCCCCTGGCAGGCAGCGTCAGAGGGAAGTCCCGACCAAGCCCCGCCCGCCCCATACGCCGAGCCGGCCCCTGGCACTCTCAACTCGCCCAAGTCCTCGGGCCGCGCGTGTACCGTCGGAGGGGCCAGGCGCTGAAATGGGGACCCGCTTGCCTGGTCCCCCTCCTCTCACACGCACGCGTTCGGGCGCACGTGTGGACGTCCGTGCCGCCGTGCATGCATGCCGTTTCGTTGCACGACGCAAAACCCCGCTGATCAGGAGTTGATAGTTGGAGCGGCGACTGGTCGTGCGCGAGCACGCGCCTCCGCTCTCAAACCGCCACGATAATCGAGCGCATGCGTTCGAGCGTCTATCCGTTTGGTGTGACTTTCAGAGCGCCATACCCCAAACCACCGATGGGCCTGCCGCCGCTTTTGGCACTCGTCGGCCTCCACCCTGCCTGCCTGAAACCTGCAGATAGCATCCACACACGCCGGCGCGCGAGCGACGCCCGCGCCACCGCCGCAGCGGCGTGCCGCGCAAGGCGTTCGCCGTGTGGGGCCCCGCGCTTGCCGCAGTTCCGGGCGCTGGCGCGTGTCGTATTGAACCTGCTGCTTCCACTGCTCGTTTGCCTGTGGATTGGATTGCAGAATGCAGCCTGGCTTGCCGCCTTGTGCGCCTTATGTGCAGGTGCATGGGTCGCACGCAACTCGCGGCAAGAATGAGATCCCTTCAGATGCGGCTGTGCGCGCTCGCGCAACCTTGTTGCCCCGGCCTTGCTGCATCGATCGAGGGGCCCATGCTTCCGTCGTCAGCAGGCGGGGAGCATAGCGATGTTTACTGCTTGTCACCTGTCACCGCAGCTGCGAAGGTTTTGACGGACTGCGCCAGGTTTTGGTTGGACGATCGATTGCGGCCCCCAACCCGCGCCTTGCTGCCATTGCTGACTCCCATCGTCCCATCTGCTGCTCCAGCCACCGCCAGGGGCTCCCGCTTTTGTCGCATGGCGGGGGGCATCCTTTTGCCTGCCTAGACGCAGACGCTGCACCTGCTGTGCCGCTCACTGACGAAACAACCGAGCGCGCAGGACGCCACTGCCGAGCAGCGCACTGCCCCACCGCAAAGCGCGCCCCGCCGTTTCTTGCTGTGCGCCCCGTGAGCAGAACGCGCACCCCCTTGCCTGTCGTGCGGGCCTCGACATCCACGTGGCGCCCGGTCGCCCAGCAACCGGGGCCCGAGGACCTCAGCTGTCCCCCTGTTTTTTGAGAGCTGCTGTGTGCCATGCGGCTAGCTTCTGCCTGCCGCTTTTTGCACATGACAGCCACGCACATTTGTTTCTATCTTGCACTGCACTTGCACGCGCACTCCAAACTGATCAGTTTCCTGTTGCAGGGCGTCAGCCCGACTTGACTTTCCCCCTGACAAACCTGACAAGACCAGACATCCATGCCTGCACTGTACGCTGCATCTGCACATGACCAAAGCCGCTTTAGCTGCCCTTCAAACCCCCTGGTGGTTTTTGTTGAACCACGTTTTCCCGCTGCGCCTCAGCGGAAATTCTCGCTTTGCCTCTAGATGTCCAGTTAACTGCCCGCCTCCCGCATCACTTTGAGGTTCCTTTTGGTTTGCTTGCCGCGCACCCACCCATCCGGACTGTCTGATTGCCCGCGCCGTCCGCTGGGCTTTGCAGCAAGCGCATGTGCTGTCGCAGCCGCATGCAGCTGTCCCTGCCATTTGGACGTCTGGTCGGCCTAGAATCCGGCGCAGTGAGCGCTGCACCCCCGAATCCCCCCTACTCGTCACGCAAGCGCATCATCCGGCAAATGAGCCGTTTGCCACATGCAGTCCAGCAGCCCTGCAGCTGCACTGCTGCCAACTGTCATGCTCTTGTCATCCCATCACATTCGTACCAACGCTCGGAGGGTTGACCCCTATAGTACTCGTGATGCATTTGCGCATCGTCGTTGCCCCTACCCGCTTTTCAGCACACTGTTTCCCACGAAATTTCGCGCGAGGTCCCAGGGCCGCTGCGGCAGCGGCCCGCAGGCGCAGCCCATTCAGAATGCGCGTTGAGAGGATGAGTGAGCCCTCACCTCCCCGGCCATTCCCGCCCCCTTCGAATCCCGCAAATGAGGTGTTGAACGAATAGCAAGCCGTCACCTCAACCCAATCAAGCTCCCACCTGTCTAGAAACACCCCTGCTGTTTCCTGTACCAAATTGCCCAACTTCCAACCCCAAACTCGTGCGCCCCTCAAACACCATGCAATGCGAAGTGCTTTGTGCTTCGAATGCTCGAATGTATAGGAAGCTTCCCCACGCGCCTCACCTGCGTCCTCTCCCACTGCCTTCTCGCCCACCTGCCTGCATGCGTCATCCCAAGGTTTCAGCGGCGCGCAATGGCCCTTGACCCTTTGGTGGGGCCGGGTTTGTTCTAGAGTCGGCACTGTCTTGTCTTGAGAAGTTGCTTTCCAACTGGATGACCAAAAGGGGATCGGCAACTTTCAACACTTTATCAAGAGGAGGGGCTTGCGTGTGGTGCGGGCGCCCTGCCGCCCTCACTCACGTCGGCTTGCTTGATGTGCCTTGCAGACACAGCACCCCCGGCGCCACGCCCGCGCATGCCCCTGCGGCCAGGGCGGCGCCGCGCTTGCCGCATAATGTTTGTCTTGATGCATACAGATGTTGGCAGCTTTGTGCATTTAGCTGTTGGTGTTTCACCTCGGGGATGTGAAAATCCTCTGCAATCACATGTTGAGCTTCCGGTGGCCAAGGAAACACACAAGGCTGAGCACAGGTGCTGGAGTTGACAGTCGCAGGCAGCCGCACAGTTGATTGCGATGGAAAACCCTCGCGCTCTCTCCTGGAGCTGCAGGGACAGCACCCGGCAGCATCAGTATTGGTCATCCCTGCTGTTGAGGATTGGGGGAGAGTGTTTTGACCAGCTGATGTCACACCAGCGCGGCGTGAAGGGGAAATGAGGCAGTTGTGGGGCGTGCGGAGTGCATAGAAGTGGTGGAGTTTGAACCTTTCAGGATGTGGCAGCGCATCGGCTGGACCTGTGGGGCGGCCGGTGGGAAGGGCGGGCGGGTGCATCAAGCGGGTGTGGGGTGCGTGTGGGCGCTCTATGTTGCAAAGGGGGAATGGGGCAGACACAAGGCATGCCCGAGTGGAGTGCGCGTGATGGGAGGGAGGAGGTTTGACGCTGCTTGGATGCGGGAATGCAATGGAAAATCGTCGCTGCGCTTTGCGAGTATTACGCGCTGTGGGGCTGCGCGCTTCGCAGCGTGGCATGCATTGCGGCGAAGGCATGCGGCACCCGCCGCCCAGGTACAACGAATACATGCGCTGCGATTATTGGTGTGCTTGATGGCTGACTCGCCAGGATCTTGAGATGAGAACCTCGCACACAAGGCCGTGCACCTTAGACTCGTTTCACTCGGTCACCCACCCCTACAGCTGCACTGCTTCTTGCATCCTGCAGATTTGAAATGTGCAGTTTTTGCAGCGCACCTCTTCTGCGTTGTAAGCCCGATCGAGGCGCGCTGGTGCCGCGCGGAAGCCGGCGAGCAGGTCTGCACGCGAGTTGGACTTGGCGCACCACCAGTGGGTCGCGGGCGCCTTGCCGTCGTAGCTGGGGTTAGGGCGAGGTTGGGGTGGCGGGGTTGGTTTTGGAAGGCGTGTTGAGCCTTGGGCATTTGGGACTGAGTTTGGCACAAGCAGGTCAGAGGGTGGCAGCATACATGTAATGTGCCCATGACCTTGCACAGGCGCCTGGGCCGCTGCCGCTGCTGCTGCCACTGCTGCTGCCACTGCTGCTGCCACTGCTGCTGCCACTGCTGCTGCCACTGCTGCTGCCACTGCTGCTGCTGCCACTGCTGCTGCCACTGCTGCTGCTTGGTGTGCTGCTGCTGCTGCTGCTGCTGCTGCTGCTGCTGCTGCTGCTGCTGACGCCGCCAGCACTGAGGCTGTCACAGCTGGCACCGGCGCCAGCGCCACCACCGCCGCTGCCGCCGCAGCTACCAACTCCGCCTGCGCCTGCATGGGGACCGCAGCGGCTGCAGCAGCAGTTTCCTGTGCATCTGCAGGGGCGGCGGCCGTGTCCCGAGCTGCTGCCAGGAGTGGCAGCGTTGCGCTTGGCCGCGCTATGGCCGCCCCGCCAACACGTAAGTGTCACCGACCCCAGAAGTGCCCGCGTGCGAGGGCGGTGGAGGCTGCCTGACGCGCGCCGAGCACCCGCCTCACCCATTCTGAGTCAGCAAGGAGCTGCAGAACCTCGCGTGCAGGGCCCCGCAAGGTGTTGAAACCGAAGTGATCCTCCACCAGGTGCCGCCGCAGCCCCAGCAGCGCGTCGGGCCCCACTGGGATCTCTACCACTGGCGGCCAGCAAGGGTCCGCGTGCGGTGCACGGGTGCGCGACTCTCAGGCGAGGGGCCGCCATGACTCGGGGGCGCCGCCAAGAGGAAGCCCTCCTCGTAATGCCCGTCAAGCGCCGACAGAGCATGCGAACCAGGCGGTGTTTCCGCTGCGGGCGGCGCCGGCGATGAGGGCGGCGCCGGCGACGCGGAGGGCAGCCCCCCGCGCACCCACAGGTGTGGCGTGTGAGGGTAGGGGGCGCACGCCCCAACCTCCAGACCCGCAGCATATGCAGATTGCTGCGCTCGACTCGGATGGGGCCGCCACCCCCCTTTGCTGCAGCCACAACTCCACGCCACCGCCTTTGTTGGCCACGAGGTGGCCCTTTGTGCGTCTGTGGGCCCCATGCAGCACCACAGCCTGGCAGCCGCGACGCCAGTCGTCATCAGTCGGCAGCTGCTCTTGTCCAGGAGGCACCGACAGCGCCTGCGCACAATGGAGAGGGGGGGCGGCTGTTGCGCATGCCAGCAACTGCGAGGAATTAGCAGTGCGCAGGACGGGCGGAATCCATGCGCCCCGCCCAGCTGGACGACACATGAGGAGTCCTGGCATAACCAAAGCAAACCTTGAGATGCTGAGTCGCCGTATCCTTCGGCACGCGCCCACTGCCGGCGCCGATTGCCTGGGCGGCATCCAAACGGCCGCCTGTGCTGCCGGCTCCCTGCAACAAGCTGGCATCTGTACACCAAGCCACACGCCACCCTTGCCCCGCCTGCCCGACAACTGTGCCAGTCGTGTTCTTGCGGGCGTGCGTCACGGCCAAGCCCGGGCGTGCCCGGGCGGAACGGCGGAGGCAGCAGGGATCTTGGCAACAAGAAGTCGAGGGTGGCACGCAGCCGGCCTCGGGGCGGCATGAGCAGCACATCAGGTTGGCTGCCTGCGCGTGCAACGCCACGACGCCAAGCACCGGCAGCTGCGCCTCGGTCACGACCTGCAGCTGCAGCAGCATCCCTCGTGCTACTGCGAGCGGGCTACAGGGCACGCGGCGGCACCCATCGTCAGACCCACTAGGCAGCGTGTTCCAGAGCCCCGACATGCCTCCTGACGAGTCCGCATCGTCGGCCGCCTGCAGTCCTGCGGCCCAACAAAGGCCGCCCTCACTGCCACTGCACCCATCGCTGCCGCTGTCTGTTCCTAGCCATCCGGAATGTTACGCCGCCTGCGCCATCCTGCCACCACTGTGCACGCTGAAAACGCCCGCGGCCCCATGGGCGGCACCCTGTGGGCGGCCGCTGCGCCGCGTAGCAGCGGCTGTGGCTGGTGCGCTGGCTCTGCCGCTGTGCCTAACATGAAAAATCGCCGGAGTATACCCGAAGTAAATAGCGGAACAGATACTCAACCTTGTGTGGTTCAAGTGGGCACATGCACTTGACACCCGTGAGCAGGGTGCGGGGTGATTCGCAGATTCGTGGCTATCAGCGCGATGCAGTTGCGAATCTATTAATATATGCATTTATTTGATACATATTGCCGGATTAATGCTGCCGGCGTGGCTGGTGTGGCTATCGTAGCTAAGAGGGCTGGTTTGGCTGAGGCTCCTGGAGTTGCGCTCCGCAGCTCCGCAGTGACGCGCAGGCAATAGAGGCGAGGCGGCCATTTGTCCGCGTCTGAACCATTCAACGCCTACTTTCGGCCCAGCGATTGAACGGCACGCAGCCTGCACCTCACCTGGCACCGGCCTTCCTGTGTGTGGGCATCCAGGGCGGTCACTTCAGGCCGCATTGCCTCCTTTAGCACAATATTATCTTGCCGCAACCCACATCTTGCGCGTCAATTATCCTGGACCGTCCGTCAACTTCTGCCCGGGAATCGAAATACCGTAATGGCCAAGCTCCTTTGGCTCTGCATGGCTGCGGCCCTCGCTGTCTCGTCCTCTGCTCAATCAACGGGCGTGGGCGTGGGCGCGCAGCCCAACGGCGCCGCGACCGCCGAAGTGGGGGCACCTGGCACCAGCGTCGCTGCAAAATCGGGTGCTGGTGGCGCCACCGTCAATGTGCCCGCACCCCTCACCACTGTGACCTCCACTACTGTGGCCACCCCCGCCGGCAAGGTGTCTAGGACTGCAGTGACATCCCCCGGCACTGCCGTGCTTGCCACCAAGGCCAGTGGCAACGCCGCAGTGAAGACGTCCGCTCCCGCCACTAGAGTGACCGTCCCTGTACCCAAGCCCGCCGGCACCGCCGGCAAAGTGGACGCCCCTGCGAACGCCGCCACCTCCACTACCACCGGCAACACCCCGTCCGGCAAGGCCTCAGACACCGTGGTCGCCGCGCCCGGCACCCCGGTCGTCGCCACCACCAAGCCGAGCGGCTTTGCCGACGTCGCTGCTGTCACCGCCCCTGCAACCAGGTGCGGGGTTGTGTGGCACGTGCGGGTGCAACGTGCGGGCATCAGTCCTTTGAGGGCAACGTTAATATGCAGCCGTGCAATTCCCTTGGCGTTCAGCCATCATGTATGCCGCGCCCTAAACGTGCAAGCAACGCTACACTCTTGATTTCCTCAACCTTTGTTGGCCCCTCCGCTCTGGCCCACTCCTGCTGCACAGGCCCCCGGCTGGCCCCGTGGTGAATGTTCCTTTCTACAGTGCGACTGCGGTGTTGCCCACTGAGCGTAAAATGGGCAAAAATTGAGACACACGGGTCGCACACAAACTGCAGATGCAGCATGGGCGGTGCAGCTCAGCCGCCTAGACAGTCTAGGCGGCGCTTGCACTGCTTCCATCTGCAGCACCCCAGCACTGGCCTGGCGGCACGGCACTTGATGGCTTTCCAGAGATTGAACATTGGTTGGTCCTTGTCATGCCACCAACGCGTTGCGTGCAGACACCCGTCGCGTCCCGGCCTGCAGGCGTTGAACCCGTCGAGCGTGGAGGTTTGGCAGCATCGCGAGCTGACCAATGACGGTGGAGCAGCAGCTGAGCCCGCGCCTTGGCCGCAATCCCGGCAGCGTGCGGACGAGCGCGCCTGGGCGGCGCCGAGCAGCGCCGCTCGCGCTGCTTGCAGCACGCTGCTGCCTGCCCGGGGAAGCACTGTTGGCCTCGCGCCGCATATTGAGTTATGCCTTTGGTAACCGTTCAAATAAATTTTTGTGTGTGTATTTTTGTATTTTGTCTAAGAACAAGCACTACTGTGGCGTTGGCCTTTCTCTGTGTTGATCTCTGTATAAGTTGTTTGGCTCTTGTTCGTTTGCTTGTTCTTGAGCTCACTATTATCGACCCCCTCTTTGTGAGTAAAGTAATAAAGTAGTAAAGAGTAAACACACCCATCGTGCAACCACATATCAAAACCGGCTCCCTTCAGCAAAGATCTGGAGAAGAGGCCTTGGGTCACGCTCAGTTCCCTGCATTGGTGTCGCTTCCCTGGGCCAAGAGGTGCGCTATTGCAGTATCAAACATCAGCTGGTAGAGCGACTGTAGCGACAGTCGCTTGGGCCTCCTGCCAGCAGCCAACCTTTTGTCAACAGTGGCTGAGCTCATGATCTCGGCCTTCGCGTGCACTGTGTGTGCACGCCTATCGGGACAGCTTGTTGTTGAATTCTTAGCACTCGGCGGAGCAGAGGGCAGACAAGGCTGTCTGCAGTGAAGTGCATTGAACAGCTCACAGATTGGGGGAGTGACCGTTCTGACGCACCTGACGCCCGGCAGGAACAGCCGGACAGCAATCATAAACCAGAAGAGGGACGCAAGTGCGCTCACACACAAGAACCACGCCCGCTGGGCATACCACCACCCGTGGGCTACAGCGATTTCCGGAGAGACGGGAGGCACGGCTGGCCGGCCCGTGGCCAGCGGCCGCAGGCCATGGCCACTAGTTGAGGATTGGACTGACGGCGGACTGGGCATGGACTGCCATTGACCACCAGCTTACAGCTCGGCAACAGGGCAGCGGACAGAGTATTCGGTCAGGTTTCGGCACCGGACAAAGTGTGGCGCGACAGTCCACCCTACATTTATATCCCAAGGTTCACATTCAGATCAAGAAACCAGCCTGAAACACAAGCACACCCATGAAGCACATGATGTATAGCTTGCACCTTGATTGCCTTGTAGGGTGGCTATTTCTGGTTGCCTGTCTTGGGATTAGTAACATCACAACCCCTATTGAGTAAGTACTACCTGTTACACATATCTTTCAGTGGCTCCATTCGGCCATCATCTGATCACGGGATACTTTTTGCTCCACCGCAAAGCTTCCTGCTGAAAGTCAGCTGCATTCAGCACAGTGCTTCGAAGTGACACGAGACGCCACAGGGTGAAGTTTGACACCCAGCAGAGCAGAGTGCTGCTGAGGCAGCTTGGCGGGCCAAACAAAGCTATCCGCACCAGAGCCCGCATCAGAGCAACGTTTCAGCAGCACCCCTGTGCTGCACTGGTCTGGCAATATCGGCACCACGGCGCTGTTGCGATTATTACAGGATCTCTGAGAAATATTTTTGGCAGATTGCTGGGGTGAGCGTTGCAGGGCGCCAGACCGCTTTGCGAGTCACGCTAATAATGTCCACCAGTGCATCCCCCTGCGCCCGCACACGCTTCAAATGTGTGTGCAGGTGCGTACACGCTCGTACACACATGCAACCTGCGCTTGGTGCCGCACGCATCATCCACGGATGCAGAGCCCGCGGTCAGATGGATGGCCACACGTATGCACACATACACACACTCACAATTTGTATGACACACACACACGCACGCACGCATGCGCGTGCGCGCGCGCACACACACACACACACACACACACACACACACACACACACACAGTTGTCCAGCAGCAGCAGCGGCAGTGCTTGGAAGGCTTAAAATGACATGCAGATGCCAGCGATTGACACAAGTCTCAACGAGGCGGGTTGCCTGATGTGCCTTGCAATTGCAGACGCCCGCAGCACCCGAGGCACCCCGCTCGCGCATGCCCCTGCGGCCAGGGCGGCGTGGCGCTTGCCACCCAATGTTTGCCTTGATGCACACAGATGTTTGCAGCATGCCCGCACCGCTTTGTGCATTTAGCTGTTGGTGTTTCACCTTGGGAATGTAAACATCATTTGCAGTTACGAATCAAGCTTCTGGCAGCCAAGCAAACAAATAAACAAGAATGATCAAAGGTGCTGGTTATGACAGTCACGGGCAGCCGCACAGTGTATGGCCATGGGCAACCCACAAGCACTCTCCCGAAGCTGCATAGACAGCACCCAGCAACATTAAAATGGTCTTCCCTACTGTTCAGGATTGAGGGAGATTGGTTTGACCAGGTGCGGCAGATGAAGCCCTGAGTCATCACCTTGTGATCCTCGAATAACCACACTCCATACACCATTCACGTTGAATTGTGTTTATATTAACAACATCAACACCACCACCAACAACAACCACTGGGACACGGCCCCATTTAGACACGGCGCAGGCGCGGCGGCGCCGCTCGCCGCGCGGCTCGTCGCCGGTGGCGGCGCTGTCGCGGCGGTGGCGGACGTGATGGTGACGTCGCCAAAATTTGCATTGAATGACTCGCACCACACGGCGAGCACGCGGCAGTTTGAGGAGAAGTCGGCCTGCGGGACAAGCACCAGCTGGACCTGCGACGGCCAGGAGGGGCAGAGCGGCAAAAATAGGTGGGCAGTGGGCGCCGATGTGAAGGGGAACTGAGGCATTTATGGGGCGTGCGGAGTGCATGTGGATGATGGAGGTCAACCTGCTGGTCAGGGTGTGGCGGTGCATCCGGCGCGATTGGGCTCGTAGCGGCGCGTCGCAAGGCGCGCTGTGGGGGAGCGTGCAGTGGTGTGTGGCACGCGATCGGGCGATGTCGTGCGGCGCCGGCCGCCCAGGTGCGCTGGGTACACGCATTGCGTTGATGATGTGGCGGCTGGCTGGCCAGGGTGTTGGGATTTACAGCTAGCACAGTGAGCCGTGCACACACGCCTTGATTGACCGGACCACCACCCCCACTGCAGCTGCAACACATCTTGCAGCCTAGAAAGCCGCGATTGCCCGGCGCACCGTTTCCTCGTTGTAAATACGCGTCAGGCGCGCCGGTGCCGCGCGGAAGCCGGCGCGCAGGTCTGCGCGCGAGCTAGACTTGGCGCACCACCAGTAGGCGGCGGGGGCGGCGCCGTCGTATCTGCCAGCAGAAAGGTTTGAGGGGTGGGTGGGGTGTTGGGCGTGGGGAGTAAATCATTGTGAGCGCGGATTGAAGGGGGCTTTCCAAACCCGCGCACACAGTCGTGCGATGCTTTGAGTGTGAGGTGCTTGCCATCTGGAGCAGACAACAGGGGGAGATTATTGGCAACTTGCCAAGAAGCGCGATGATAAAGGCAAGGCAGGGGGTGCTGACAAGAGAGGGGATGTGCTGCGACAGCCAGGGAAGCCTTCTCATTTTTTTCAGAGGCCCATCAACAAGCATCGGCCGCCTCCCCTTGGTTCGGCTGACAAGGAAGTTTGGGCAGGCGGGGCGGGCGGAGGGGCGGGAGCTGAGCGGCTCACGTGAAGCCGTCGACGGTCACAGCTGAGCAGTTGTTGACGGCGACCGTCCCGGCCACCTGACAAGTTATGGGGGCGGTGAGGTGGTGCGCGTCGGGTGGTACAGCGCCGAGGCCTCGAGGCAGTGGGGTGGTCATAACAGTGAGGATGGCAGTGACGCTTGTGGGCGTTGGTGCAGGCCTGCCACCTTGCGAGCTTAGTTGGCTGGCGACCCCATGGCGCCTCTCACGTCGTGCTGCAGAGTAGATAGCTGTCCTTTGAAGCCAGAAAAGGCGCAGGCTGGCGCGGTAGCGGCGGCGGCACCCAGCGGTGCGGTCACCAAAAGCAGCATGGAGAGAGCTGCTGCCACAGCAGCGCCGCGCACTGTTTGAAGCATACTGTAGCTGAGGCGCAGCGCTGGGTGGTTTGCACGTGGCACGGCAGTGATGAATTCGTTGACAGTTGGAATGTAGATGTCTGTCGCCCTTCGTTGAAGGCACTGCAAGCTCGTGACCCACACCCGGGCACCACGCACCCACCCAGCGAGCAGCAGCTGCTAGCTCCGTTCTGTCGGTGGCACTCGTTCGCTGGAAGGCCGACGAGATTCCGGACTTTGAACATTTGTCACAGTCGCGATTCGTGCTCGCAGCTGCTGGTGAGGACCGCCTCCATTGTTGGATCATGAAATGTCCAGTACAGTACCTCATGACAATGGGTGCTGCGGTGCTGAATGGATGCGATGCCCACATTGCATGGCGACCACCATGTATGACACTAATTGTGCGTTCTGGTGCCATCACACCATGAAACCTCAGCTGCGCATGGCACCAAAACGCCAGACCTGACATAGCCAGCCCTCCCGACCTTTGCCCACCAGCATCTTGTGGCCATGCGACCGCCGAGGGTGCGCGTGCAACCATGCATGGGAGGGTTTTCAGGGTTCAGCAGGCATGGGCAAAAGGTTTTCAATAAGGCAGGCCCACGCCACAGCCGCAACCTGTTCGTAGTGACGAGGCCCGCACTGTTATGCGCTTGGTCCCAGGATCCTTGGCACCGATTACGCGTTTGCGTCAATCTCGGCTGCGATTGCGTGCGCACTGCAACACCGAAAGCTTGAAACCAGACTGCCGCACACTCTGCGGCACCCTTGATCCCGCACTGGCTTCCAGCCTTTGACTCGTTTCCTGCACTGAACAGACTCATTGTCTGCGAGAGCAGCAACGCACCGCAGGTAGATGGGCCATCTGGTGATACCTCTAAGCAAATGCCCTCGCACAACTACGCGCTGTTGGTATTTCTTGAATGCGGGCCTATCGTGGCGGCGGTGGAAACCTATCCGTGGATGTCACCGCTGCGCAGCAGGACGCGAAATAAACCATACGCCGCGCCCGCATTGCAACAGTCTTCATCAAAGATTTCGGATAGCTCCAGAAGGTCTCGGCATCCCCCCCCCCCCCCCGCGGCCGCGTGCCGACGGCCAGGCGGGCGTGGAGGGGCGGACTCCGCGGCCCGCGGGCGCGCCTCTGTCGTGCAGGCAGCCGACGTGGCGCGCCTGTGCCGCGGCCCGGCTGTCAGGGGCGCCTGCGCGCGGTCAGCTGTTGGTGCTGCTGGTACCGATCGTGGTACTACAACATTCCTGATAAAAATCTTGATCTGATCACATCAATATGGGAAGTGGAAAAAACCACGTGCAGTTACAGGTTGAGATGTTGGTGGCCAAGCAAATAGACAAAAGAATCAGGAGAAAAGTTTAATTATTTGGACCGTCGCACGCACTCAAAGACTTCTCTTGCCAGGTAATAAGCTCCACAAAGTCTCTTCTGGGGCTGCTTTAAAACCAACCGACATCCAGCATTAGATTAGGTCGTCCCTGATGTTGTGTGTGGATTACTTGGGGCAGATCGGTTTCGACCAGGCGCCGCAAATGGGCGCCTCAGTCATCGCCATTCAACCCCCAAGTCATCCTAAAAACTGGTGAAGCAAGTGTGAAGATACAATGTTGCTGGCATCAGCCGCGTTCACGCAGCGCTCAATGTAGCCTGTCCCAAGCAAGCATGCAGCCATCTTGCATCCATGGTTGCGGATGACGCAGGCGTGCGCAACCGAGTGTCACAGCAACAAGGCTCGTGCTGGCAAACTAATGGACTAGCCCTGACGCTGCCACCCCCACGACCGCCGCTGCCCGCAGCAGCTTCCGGCCACCCTGCGCAGCGGCAGGCGTGATGGTGACGTCACCAAAGTTGGCCTTGGCCGTCTCGCACCACACGGCCAGCACGCGGCAGTTTGTGGAGAAGTCGACCTGGGGGACGAGCGACAGCTGGACCTGCGGGGCGGCCAGGAGGGGCGCAG